TGCCTTTGTCATGTTTGTTCCCCACATAAAATTTTTTTTTCCTAAGTCCTACTTTATGATCCAGTTCAAATGCTACCATATCTCTGCAAACTTCTTGAACCACATTGGCTTATGATAATATTTCTCCCTAGTCCTGTATGTCAGGCAGAGTCCTGGACATTTTATAAGCTCTCTCTTCCTCCACTCCACCCCCGCCATATAATCCTAAGAAATTGATACTACCATTATTCTCATTTTACAATGAGAAGATCTCCTCAGGTAACTGGCAGACCTGAGGTTGCAAATATGCAGAAACTCCATTCTCTAACAGCACATTTTCTCCTTTCTTCCTTCCACTCCCTTCCTCAATCATTAAAACCGTAGGACATCAGATTCTGGTCAGCATCAAACTGTCTTAAGAACAAAGCCTCAGGTCTGTTGACCACAAAACATTCCCTGAAGCTCAAGATAGCATCTTGACTTCAGTTGCAGTTCAGCTCCAGGCCTATGAAAGAAAGCAGAAAGACCCTATCCTAACCACACCCTCGGACCACACGCTCAGGGAACCAGACAGAACACCAGCCATGGCTGACATCAGGGCCGCCATACAGTGATCAACTAGCCCCTATTCTGGCCCCAATCAATCAGTAGAACCCAAGATGCTAACTCCTTTAGCCGCCATGATTAATGATTTCCCCCCTTTAAAACCTGCCTCCTGGAAGCCGATGGGGAGCCAGGTCTTCAAGCATTAGTTTACCTGAGACTCCAGGCTTCACACCATTACCTCAACTAAAAAACCTTACTTTGTTGGCTGCAAACTCTAGCTCGCATTTGCTTTAATGCGCCCAGACAGACAGACCTGCTTAGTCTGGTAACAGGGTTGAACACACACCTGTCTTGTTCCAGTGCAAAAATAGTAGGAAAGTCATGTTTTAATCATACGTTATATGACATGTGGCAGAAAAAAACCCCTCAAATCCTTAATATGGCTCATAAGACCACGTACAACATAGCTCTTTTCTTCCATTCCCCGTCGTTCCTGAAGCCTCAGCCACATTAGCCTTCTTTCAGTTTCTAGAATTTACTGAACTACTACAAAACTCAAGGCCTTTGTAGACACTGTTTTCATTGCCTGAAATGTTCCTCCCCTCTTCTCACATCAAATCTCTACTCATTATGATCTCATTTTAAACATTTCCTCAAGACCCCTTCCATCATTCTTCTAGAGAAAACTATGTTAAATTCCCCCATTAACCATTGTATTTCACAGTACCTTCTGCAACTCTGAATAGTTTGGTAATATTTATTTAATATATGTTTCCCATACTACTGTGTGGTGAGTTCTTTCACTATCACTTTCATCATTTTTCTGTATTGTACACACAGGGAGTGAATGATTGGTGTCTTTAACTCTCATTATTCATTTTAAGACTTGAAGGAATCAAACAGCCTTTACCTCATAGCTAGTAAGTAATTGGAATCTGCATGTTGAAAAACTTACACACTATTTCCATTACAGATATATTAACAAAGCTGAAATCATTTTCTAATAATCTGTATTTAGTTGGAGTTTTTTCATTTTTTATAGTCACTGTTAATGCATATTAAATTAATTCTAAATTAATTTAAATTCTAAATGTGAGTCTTATCCTTGAATGTTGTTCAAATAAAAGTAAACTAAAATGGGATTATGGAGCTCCCACAGAAAGGGATAAACTGATGACCAAGCAGAAGAGTCAACTAAATGCATGATGCAAGTGTATTGCCTAATCCTTCAAAGGGTGGCAGCTGGATTTCAACTTCAGATAGACAGTAAAACGTCTAATCAGGAGAAATTAACCAAAACATCCACTCTGCTGTTCCAGGATTAGAGAAGTTACTAGGAGTTCTAACTGCTTCACCTTTGACTGCAGTTGTCCAATGAAGTCTCTTTAATAGACCTTCTTACCCCCAAAACCAGATGTCAACAATGTGAATTAACCACCAAACTGTGAAGAAGGTCATTTCTTCTAAAGTTGCTAAAAAACCTACAGTAGCTGGGATTCAAATATCTCAGAGATTATAATAGCAAAAATGTATTTTATAGGGTCATTCACTATAATAGTCCCTTCAGTATATCACTTTTAAAGATTTGCATGTTCATACTACTATATATGTAAACTGCTATTGAGAAATCTATGCATTTCTGAAAGCTGATGTACCTTACTCTTTTTGTATTTGGGCTTTTGAAAGGCCTATAGGTTCAGAAGGGAGCTTACTTTCATTAAAAATAGACAAGCTTCTAATGAAAAAAAAAAGAATTCCTCTTGCCTTTGGCTATCCAAAGGGCATCAGAGATCTTGACCATATGTATGTGAGTTCCATCTGGGAGAGAATAATTATCTGTAGCAACCCCTCATTTTACTTAAGGACTTGGTTGTCAACATCTCTCTTCCCCAGATCCCAGCTTCAAAGAAAATAAACAAAGCTCCTCCACATCATAGTGTATCCCATACTGACTTAGCACTTCCCAAAGATATAGAAGAGATCATCGAATCTGTGTATACTATTATTTGACTATCATTTTAAAAACCATGTCATCTCTGCCCTAGACCCTAGGGATATAAGGAAAAAGAAAATTTCACCCTGCGCTTGAGCTTAGCTTTGTAAAAAACTTTTACCAATGAGTATCTACAAATATGTGTCCAACACAGTAATGGATACAAATTCAAACCACTTATTGAATGAAGTTTAAGATTAGATGTCTGGCCTCCTACCTCTAACTTCCCTTCCCAACTCTACTGTGCCAAACACACTTCTTAGGAAAATAGCACCACGTTGCTGAAATAAATACAGATGTAAAAGGCTTATCTCTTACTCTGATCTCTTGAACTGCTATTAAACAAATATGGTCACGAGATTCCAAGATTGCAGAGATGAAAAGTTCAAATTGACTGAATTCTTTAGTTCAACTGTTGGTAGTGTTTGAAGAAAGTTATTTGACTATCATCATTTAGTCAAATAACAGTTTTATCAAATTTCACTAATTACAATGTACTGAATTTTTGAAAAAGCAAGGATCCTTTGGCAAAATTTTTAATTAAAATCATTTTCTACACACAATTTTAGAAAACTTAAGTAAGCAACTAGATATTAAGGGGTGGGGAGGGGAGTGAAAACATCCAGGTCTTAAATGTCTATTTGATACTTTGCCTTGTCTTCCACATCCACTCCATTCCCCTGGGCCCTCCTAACCCCAACTAACCCTCCAGCAACCTGTTCTTTCTCTTCCATGTATGTTTGGGCACTGCCTTATGTTTGGCCCTCATTGGTTTTTTAACTGGAATGTCTCAGTGACTTAATGAAGTTCTTTGCACACCGGTTTATGGAAGGGATGGTCACATAAATCATTTCAGTACCATACTTTACAACAGATACGTGGACACAGAACTTTGAGGACACACTCTTAGGGAAGGAAATAATCTATATTTTGATCGGAGAAACACTAGAAGAGTTTCTTTCTCCTAAAATAATTGTGGTGTAAAAATTCAAAGTTAGCTATTCTTCCTTTAACATTTATAGGGCCTATTTCATTCATGACATGGTCTTAATTCTTTACTCAGTTAATCCTCACACTATACCTACATTTATACATATGAAAACTGAAGAACAGAGAAATTAAGTAACATGCCTGTGAACACACAGCCAGTAACTATGAAAGCAGAAACTCAAACCTAGTATTCTTGTTGCAGCTCGTAATCCTCATGACTCCCCCAAAGCAGGAGCCTTATATTACTCACTGATGTTTACATGTCTGGCAGTGCTTGGGACACTGCCAGACACGTAAAAGAGTTAGACACTACGGGAGATGAAAAGACCTGGAAGAGGAAAGGCACTCAGATGCTATGGGGAAAACCAGGTAAACATTTTCGAACAGGAAAGGACAGGGTATGGTGACAACACAGATCAGACTCTGGTCAACTAGCCCTTCTCCATCCCTGGTTCTCTGGCCTCAACAAGGCAACAATTGTCAGATGTGAACCTGGCCATGTCATTTGCCCTCATCTCACTGATGGATACTTAGAAATGGGAATGGGGAACTTTACTGCAGTATTTCTTAAGCTTTGACAGGAAACATCTCTCCCTAAAGTCTGGGGGAGGAGAGCAACCACACCCTTAGGGGCTCAGCACAGGGCCCAAAAAGCAACCACAATGCAATTCTCACAGACTGTGTCTCACCCTTAATATGCTAGCAAGTCTGGCATTTACTCTATAATGTATCTCTGTTTGTCATAGTATAAAAATAATGTCTGTAACTACTTATAATTGTAACTCTAGGAGAAAAGCCTTATTCCTACCATGATTTCTAGCACCACCTGGATGCATTCTTTCTGGGAACGCCATACTGCAGCTTCCTATACAAAACAAGGCAATGTATCTAATCCAAGCTACTTGCCATGACACGTAAAACCCTTCTGAATCCAGCCCCTGACTGACAGCACCTCCTCCCACCTCTCCAGCGAAGGCCAGTGATTCACAACCACAGCAGCAATAGAGTTTCAACCTGTTTTCTATCACCTCTATCATAATTAGGTCCACTGGGACTTGAAGAAGACATACCTATCTTCCCAAACCCTCCTTACGTGTGATTTTTTTTTTTTATTGAAATCTTTATCTTTTTCTTCTCCAAGACTACTTAGCAATACTTCCCTAGTTTAATAAACTGCTTGCATTAGTTTGCATGGCGTTCTCCTCCACTAGACTGTGCTGTCCTTGGACACAGGCCCTTGTTTTAGTTGGTTTAACATCCCCAGTGCCAAGCAGAGCCCTGACATACAGGTAAATCTCTGTCTATAGGAAACCGGACTCACAGCAGATAAACGAATCCCTCAAGAGAAAGCAAGAGAGCTATGAAACTGAAGTTAAACACAAATTGAAAGATTTGAGCACACATTTTCGATTTTCGTTCCTAACAGAACTCCAGGTTCCCCGTGCAGGGGGCGTAAAGCCCAGGGATCGTGGTTGGCGATGGAGTCACTCACCAGCTGGTGGAAGGGTGTCTGTTCTCCAGCGTTTTGGTCCAGGGCTTGTACCAGCTGATCTGCTCTGCAGCTTTGCCCCAGAACCTCTCGGGGTCGGCCACCGAGGCCGCGAAGTGGGTCTTGTACTCGCTGCCGCCGCCCGAAGACAACGCGCGGCAGCCCCGGCCCCCGAGAGCGCCCCGCGGGCCGGGGGCCACGTAAGCCCTGCGGGCCGGGCCGGCTCCCCGAGCCGGTGAGGATCCGGGCAGGGGTCCCCCGAGTCCTCCGGCACCGGTGACTTTGCGACACTGCAGCCAAGACGGTTTCATCGCCGATAGCCGCCCTCACCCTTCGCAGGCTCTGCGACCTGCGGCCCCCGAGTGGACTTTTCAGACGACAGCTGGAGTACTGGAGACTTCCAGGGTCCCGAAGAGAGCAGGCGGGAGGGAGAGGCAAATTTCGAGGAGAGCCCGGAGCCTAGGACTTTGGAAGTCGCGCTAGAGTCGCCGGGAAAAACCGACCTGGAGCCACCAGGAAAGCAACAGGCTGAAAAGGGTGGGGGTGGGGGAGGTGTCACAGCGCCCTTGCGCGTGGGGGCTGTGGCCCTGCAAGAAATCTGATCCCTCCAAGCATTGCCCACCCCCTGGTTCCCAGGGAAAGCTCCCTCAAGCTCGCAACGCCCTCTCACCCACAAATACCCGTAGGATGAGGCCCGTGGACCCATCTCACGCTCTGTTTTCAAGGGAGCGAGCTAAGTACAGCTTCTCCAGGATATTCTTTGGAGAGCGAGCTGGTGGAAGGAAGCAGCATCGCCTCTGGCCTGCAGCGGAAACCAGCAAACTCAGGTTTTGCGGCAGACCCCAGAAGTGGAGGTTTTATTTATGTATTTTTTAAACTCGGCTCTGTCCCTGATTATTAAAAACACAAGCGGCTCCGGGGTAAAATTGCTCCAGGATTTCCTGATAGCTGAGGGACTAGGCGTGGAAGGAGGTTCTGCCAGCAGAAATACTTTGCAGTGGTGACTGACAGGTCTCTGGGCTAGGTAACCCCACTGAGATAAGGGGTTCACTGCTGTCTTGACTTCCCACAGGACTAGAGACAAAAAGAAGAATGCACTTGTTGCATTTCCTCACTTCTAATTTACCTCTTTTGAGTTTCTGTGGCTTTGGGGGGGGGGGGGGGGGGGGGGCGGGGCGGTGGAGCAAAGTGAAGTGCTCAGTAAAGATAAAATGAACCAAAGAGGAAAAGAGGAAGCTGAGGAAAGTCAGAAGAGAAAGGTGGTGTAAATTACTAGCTATATGGGTTTAACATTCTTCAAGCTCCTTTCCTGCTTTTTACATCTTAATGAAATTCAGGAGCAATCCCATTTGCCTTAGGGGTATGCCAAGCACTTGCTGTTTTGGTGTGGCAGTATTTGTAGCTTTAAGTGTAAAGATGCATCCCCAAATCTTAAGTGAGAAATAATGTAATGCCCCTGGCCCTAGGTAGGACTGTAACTTGAGAAGTTGTAAACAGATTATTCTTCAAGAAAAGAATAACATGGAGATAAAGGTTAAGCAGAACAGAGATAAATCTACTGCAAAACAAAGAAAATTTCTCAACTAACCACCTCAGCTATTTCCTTTCAACTGAGAAACAAGGCACTAGACTTTTTCCCCGATACCTACAGTCTACTTTTTTCCTTCCAAAGGCTTCAAATCAAATGACTTCCGATAGTAAAAGATACTTGTCCCCACTTCCATCCAGAGAAAGTTACAAAGTCACTTAACCTACTGACCTCCTCCTTCCCTCTGCCCAGTTGCTTAATGCTGCTCCCTGGCAGACAAGATCCCCTGACCCCAAATTACTCCCTATTGTTTTGCAATGATGTCCACCTCAGGCATTTGCTTAACAAATATGGGAGAATCTACACAGCAAAGTGTGGTTTGTTGGGGGAGTTATGAAAAAAGGAAGCAGACAATTGTGGACCTACCCTCTGTACACACTGGGCTCCCACGTTCAAATGCAGCCCAGGGCCTGAGGGTGAACCATTGGCCTTTAAAATAAGACATTGAAGGCTTGTTGACTGGTAACTAAGCATATGAAAATCTTAAAATCATTATCCACTGAACACCGACTTGAATCCCAGTAACTAATAAGTGAGAAATCTTGGAAAATATATTAACTTCCCTACACTGTAATTTCAGTATCTGTATTCTGAGGCTGATTCTTATCTCACAGGACTGTTGCAAAGTTTAAATATGTGTAAATTGCTTAGTATCAGGATAGTAGCAAACCAAACAAATATAGGACAGTAGCAAAGCCTGTGAACAATCAACCAATCCAAAAAGTCAACCCAAAAAACCTTCAGCTTTATTACCATACTGAAAAGTTTACAATGAGATAATTTCTAAATAAATTATTTTAATTTAAGCATGAACTTTTTAAAAAATAAAATTACATTTTTAACTAACTTGGGGACAGGTAATCACAATCTTTTCAAAGTTAAAGCTCTCTAAATCTCCAGCTTTTTAATATACAATATTTGTTGTATGTCAATAAATAGTATATATTAATATGCTATTTAAGATGACATTTTAGACACTTTAAACAAAGATTAATTAATCAGATTATCTGAGAAAAGCATTCTAGTAATTTAAAAAAGCATAATAACTGAGAGGGGTGCAAAGAACGTAGAGTATAGAATGGAAAGGTTTGAAGCCTGTTTAAACAAGAATGAGGGAAAAGGAGGAACGGGGAGCCAGAATATGTAATACTTAAGTGAAAGATGCTGAAAAAAAAATAAGTGGAAAGCAGAGTGAAATTAGAATTGAAAGGAGAAAACGATACAGAAATCCTGCAATTTATTTTTTCCCTCTCTACAATTTTTAACTAGGTTTGGTCATCTCTAATAAAAGCAAACCTTTTTACCAGAGAGAAAAGTTATTAAAGAGTACACAATTTTAAAATAATTGTCGATGACCCTGATCATGTATTTTGCTGGCCTGCAATTCATATTTTCACATAAATTTGTTAAGTCAAATGTCTGACTTTGGGTAAGTAGGTAAATATTAGAGCTATTGAGATTTTACTTATCACAAAAACAAGAATGTTCCTGTACGTCGTATTGGTTAGTATGAAAATTTGACAAGTAAACATGGAAATGTTTGCACAAAGTACACACTTTATATCTGCAGTCACATAAGACATGCTAAGCTGATTTGAGCCTGCAGAAACGCTCCATGTGTATTCTGACTCAGCAAAGGGTTTCTGGAAACTATGCTGATTTTCACAGCTTTAAAAATATTTTTACAACTTCTAAAGTGATATGGTGCATACTTTCTTTTTGCCCACATAGCAACAAAGCAGCCTTACCCAAGTTTCTGGTACCAGAATCCTGCCTATAATCCATTCGCTGTTCCGAGGGTAGGATCCAGAAATGGAAATCTGTATTGGCCATGTTCAGTGGTGCCCAGTGAGTATCCGGGCCTCCTCCTACCACAACCCCCTTTGCCCACTACACCTAACTGAAGACCTATATTCCCTGTGGGTCATAATCCAGCTTGATTTGGGCACTACGGTGGCTATGGCAGAAAAATGAGCACCAAAGGAACTCAAACTGAACTTGAGCAGGTGCAGCACCCTGGGATTTCACAGAGTTTCTGTGATAGTATGTGTGTGCTTGATAACCCTCATGAGGGTGAAGACCACGCCCCCGAAAAAGTGTATGAAGAGGTAGTGGGAAAGTGGGAGAGCCAGACAGCTGCCCCCCAGGGGCCATCCCTCAGGTGGTGCCGGTTAACAAAGCTGATGAAGCCTTCCAGTGTGACCTGAGCTGGTAGCAGGATGCAGAGCTGGAGAGAGCCCCTGAGTTATCACCAGAAGGAAATAGAAAGTGAACAGTGAAAAAGTTGGCACAGTGTAGCGAGCTGGATGAAGAGGAAGTGAGAGCAGAACAGCTACTCCAAGGGGACCATTCTCTCCCCTGCCTGGCTGGGTCTGGTTAACCAAGTTGATAAAGTCATCCAGTGTGATATGGGCTGTTGGCAGGATGCAGAGCTCAAGAAATCTCACTAGCAAATGCCCTTGGTAAATGAAGAGTGGTCACCAGATGCACAACAAAGAGATGGAGGAAAAAGCCCAAGAACTGGAAATTAAACACAGGTGACCAGGCCCGGAAACATTTTCTTAAATCGTAAAACAGTATATTTGGTGGTGGGGGTCGGGGGAAGCACTCTCTTGAACATTATGCTTCCTGATGACTCAGACGACTGTGAGTAGGAAGAGGAAGGGTATAGGGTAGAGTGGCTATTTAAAGAAGTTAGCGCTCTGGGTTCTAAAGCAAGGTTCTATCATGAGGCATGTAGGGCAACTGGATTGTCAGAGAGCTCTCTCTATCCCCAACTTGTCTGGCCCTCCAGAAACAAGAACAATTATTATGCTGCGTATGAGAACACCCCTTTGATTTGTTGGTCAAAGAGAAAGGAGAACTACGAAATCATTTATAGCAGGCTCCGAAAGGAACACACCATTGAGGCAGGAGATAGTCAGGAAGGAGGAAACTCCAGAGGTGCCCCAGGGCTAACATAAAGAACATGGATAAAGGGCGGAGACCCTGTTCTAAGACTGGTAGTAGTTTCTGCATCTGGAAAAGCATTGAATCTTAGTGAATCAGGAATGCACCTATGCGGAACATACTACCTGACCCCTGCTTCATTATAATATCATTATAATAAATTAGCATTGTGGGATCCCCTTCCCAGTAGCCAATCAAGGAAATCATGGGAGACCCACCCTACAGAATAAAAGCCCTCGAGCGCCTGAGTTAGCTGCTGCTGCTTCTACTGTAAGGCTCTGCTCTGCTCTTCTCTGCTCCGCTCTGCTCAGAGTTGGCCTGCTCTCATGTTCTGTGTGGCTTAATAAATCTGCTTTTTCCCACTTTCTGCTATAAACTGAGTGTTCGGTTCAATTTTTTGTCCACGATCACCAAGAACCTGGTTACCTGTGCCCGCCTGTGACACCATGGCCAAGGAGGAGTGACTGGAATCTTAGAGACGTCTCAGGAATCATTGGAATGAAACAAATTACTGAGTTCCAGCTACAAAGAGGAACTAAACTATGTTGCATCATCATACTGGGCTAGAACATGTGATGTTTTGATTTCAACTAATAAAGGTGTTATACCAGCAAACAAGTTAAGCCTTTGGAATTATTAGTTGTCAAAGTAAATAACTGAATTGCATGTATGTAAAAAATTTTTTTTAAATAAAATAAAACAACATTCCAATTAATGGGAAGACTCTCTACAATGTCAGTTCATTCTAGTAACCAAATAAAATAAGGCATAGGATTCATCCACCAGCTTTATTGTTATTTATGAAAAAAAAATTTATTTCTAGTTAGAAAAAGCATTTAGCTACTTCTATTTAGAAAAAAACTGGAAAAGAACAGCCTAAACAAAGATTTCTAATCGTGTTTCAAATTCTTTTTTTCTCTCTGCATCTGCATAGCAATTTACCATTGAGGAAAAAATATCTCATCAATGCAGTTGTGATGAA